TTCTGTTGAAAGGTTAGCGGATTGGTGTGAGCTATCATCAGAAGATAGTACTATGTCTCTAGGCTGCCTTATTTTTTAAATCTGGTAATCAGAAGTGACTTTGTCGATGAAATGCCTTAATCTCATTCTTCATATTTGTTTTCATGCTTAGATTAACTGCTCTGAGGTTTTTGGTAAATTTGGTTCCCCATAAATGAATTCTACCTAAACCAAGCATTAAGTGGCAGAAACGAACTGTTTTGCACAAAATTGCCTAAGCACCATCAATAAAGCATAACTTACAACACCCTATAACCTTAAAAAGGTATCCACGGCTCGTTTCCTCCATAATATAGTAAAGGAATATGAGGCATCCAAGGACTATCCATTCAATTTCATCACTGATAAGCCTTCACAAGAAAAAGACTAGCTCTTTTTTAGTTTTCAATGTTGGCCATTGACTTTTGCAAAACTCTTCAATTGGTGCTTTGTTTCATAGATACAACTTTGAAAATGCATTTTCTCGTACTTGAAATGACTTTTGATCCACACATATAATAGCAGTGCACATCTTATGAATCGTTCTTTTCTATTTCGTAGACAAAAATTCAATGACCAGATGGTTCTGCCAAGACTACTAGTGCAGGATTAATTGTTTGAATTTCAATTTGCTCGAAAAAATCTATCACAGTTATCTCAATGTAACCTAAAGTCTTCAAAAAAATTACCATGCCATACAATGCTAGAGCAAACACAGCCATACCTTCGTCATCATTTAAATGCTCTTGAATGAAGTTTTGAAAAAAGTCCCAACGAATACCGAGATGTTCATTTTTAGACTTTGCGACGGAATCAATGGTTTCTACTTTAACGCCCATAAGCTTGGCTAACTTTTTACGATAACCTGATTTCGACTTTTGAGTAAACACTTTATTTAGACACTATAGTTTTATCTCGAGTAAAATCGAATATTCTTCAATAGTTGACACCAAATCTTCCTGATTAAAAGTAAAACATCTATAGGATGGATCCTAACATTGTATAGCTACCATGACCAACTATTTATCGATCACAACTGAAATGAAAGATGCAATATGCCTGTACTTCTTGTAAAAATTTTTTTTTTCACTTAACTGACCCCAAATGGCGGCTAAGTCTTCTAAATCATTCTGTGTGAGATTCAAATGCACATTCTCAGGTAACTCAGACACAGCCAATAGGCAAGCAATCTCCATTCTTTTATTGGGCTTCTTTCGACCAAACATATACTTCATTATACGATTCACATAGGACACTAACTGAGGATAAGCAAATCTGTAGTTCTATGGGATCCATGAAAACTTTTTGGGAGAAATATGTTCTAGAGCAAATATCTTTGATGCAGAACTATATGATATTATTAATGCAAAAAAAAAAAAAGAAACAAAATTGAGTTAGTGTGAGGATGTGGTTTGAGAAAAAATATTTTTTTGAGTTTTGAGATTTTTTATTTTTTTTTTGTTTTGTATTACACACAACTTTTATTCTTAGGTATTTCCTACAAGAAGGTGGTCTAGGCTCTACCTAAGGTTAGTTTCCTAGGTTTATTACATGCTGGGTTTGGATTGACACGTGTCTAAAGGTTCTCAAATTATTTCTCATTGTCATTCACGCTGAACTAATGAGAGACCCCGATCTTCATCCGTTACAGGCTACGAACGACAAGGGTTCAATTTGAATGAAAGTATTTCGTTTGCCGTTACGGAGGTTATCACCTCACGAAGGCATATGTACTTTACTTTTTCCTATAAGGGATGGAGCTCGGGTATAGAGCTCATACATGAGATGCATTATATCATTATGTGTGCAAGTATATCTTAATTTATTGAGAGTAATATATACAAAAAAAAAGTATAAGAGGCATAGTGAAAGAAACGTGTGTAAATTTTTTTTTTTGTTTTTGATTTTTTTGTACCTTTTTTTGTTGAAAGTGAAAAATAAAAATATAAGAAATCGATTAGAACTATTTAAATCAAAATTTGAGGATAACACGTAGTTAATTTTGACCTGACTCTCAAAAATAAAAGGCGTTCCTAGTGGAGTCGCTAAGCTATCGTAACAGTTTTGTGTCCATCCGACGAATTTGAAAACGAAATAAAAAATAACGAAGTTGTCATCAATCTTTTTTAGTTAGGTGCGATTGACCACCTATTAAAACATATCCTTTTAATAGAATCTTAAAATTAATTAAATTATTAAAGGATAATTTTAAGGTCTACGCAATAGTTTGAGTTCGAGAGTCGGTTACGTGTGGGAAAGAATTAGCCTCCACAATGTCCGTTTAAAACGGTACCAATTAACTATTTGTTATCCATTGATTTTAATAAAAATAGTCTTATTTTCGGCTTTTGAAAAATAATTTTCTTGATTTCTTTTGTTTATTAAAATTTTGATTTTTTCTTACTTAGTGATCAAATTTTATTCGAGAAAAATAAATTAGAATATTTTTATTGAAATAATTATTAAAATGTTCTAGTACGTTGGTAACATTAGAAGAACTTTTTCTCTCATAGAGATTTCTTACGCATCGCTTTTCGAAATACCTTAAAATCTTATCTTTGGAGGCTCAAATTTATTTTTCGTAAAAAAACTATGTCGTGTATGCAATGCAGAATGTTAACATGTTGATGCACACATTTTATTCTCTTTTTTTAGAATTTTTATTAATTGTTTTATTTGATTTTTATTTTTAATTTAAATTTTTGAAGAAAAAAAAGAATTTTTATTATATTGAAGTTTTTTTATAAATATTTTAATACACTGGTAATATTTTAAAAAAATCTTATCACTTAAGAATTTCGTAAAGTATCACTATTCGGAATACTTTTAGAGTCCTATCATTGGATAAAATTTTTTTTCCTTATTTATATTATTATTTTTTAATAAATAAATTAATTTTACTTTTTATTAACAAAAAGAAAAATTTTATTGTATTGAAAATTTTTTTATAAATATTTCAATACACTGGTAGTATTTAAAAAAATCTTCTTACCTAGAGATTTCGTAAGCATTACAACTCGAAGTACCTTTGAATCTCATCGTCGGATAAAATTTTTTTTTCTTATTTTTTATTAATTTTGTGTTATTTTTTATTTAATTAAATTTTTACCAATTATTTTATAAGGTTTATTCAAAATTATAAAAAATTATATTATATTTTATTATTTATTTTTATTAATTATTATATAAAATAACAAAAATTTATTCTGATAAATTTAAACATTTTAACATGCATAAATATTAAGAATAATAATTAAAATAATAAAAATAATATATACAAAAAAAATCTAAAAAAAATTCAAAAAATTTTTTTTTTACTTGAACCGGACCTGTCAACGGTCCGGTCAACGCAGGTCTAATCAATTAGGCGGCTCGGTCCGGCCTATTCGATTTGGCAATTCAGCACCGATCTGGTTCGATCTAGTTTGATCCAGGATGGTTTGACTGAATCGGTCAGAGGTTGAAGGACACGGGTCACCGGGTCGGATGCACGGACCTCAGGTTAGGTTATGGGTTGACGTGTGGATCCTTAGGGCTCAAAACGACTTCGTTTTGGTCCTTATTGAAACAATATTGTTTTGATTCTAGCAGTTTATATAAAAGCCCCAAAATTTTTTTCAGCTATTATTTCCTCTCTCACAAAAAAAATCATTTTTTTAACCAAAACGCGGGTAATCGACCGGGTGCCGTAGCCGCTGCCACTAGTCGTCGATCACCGTCACTGTGACTAAAAAAAGCTAAAATCACCTAAAATGTTCTTCTCAATCCCTTAAACATAGATTCACCCTTCGTTTTATGTAAAAGTATCCCAAACGATGCAAATCTAATCTGAAAGTTTCAGGCAAAATTTTTTTTTTTGTGTTGTGTTGTGTGTTATTTTTTTTATGCTGGCATTGGGTTCCCTATTCCAGGAGATTGTGTTTTTTGATTTTTTGCAGGATATCTTTTTTGACAGAATGCTTTTTTTTTTATTCTAAAAAATTTTTTTGGTAATTTTTTTTCGATCCTCTTTTCTCTTTATTCGTGCAAAAAATGAGCTCTATTTATAGAGCTTTCTAAGATTCAAATCTCAAATTTTTTGAGATTTAAATCTCATATTTTCAACCTAAAATCTACGTTGTCAAGTTATGTAGGATTTTAGACGACTATTGGTGGTGGTGGTGACGATTTTGGATTTTTGAGGAGAGTGCATTTATTGTTTATCAAATTGATCAAAACAGGAAAGAAGAAGATGAAAAAAGAAAGAAAGAAACAAAAAAACAAAAAAATAAAATAAGAAAGAAAAAAAAAAAATAATATAAATAATACAAAATAATGTTTACAATCGCAACAACAACCAATAAGAAGTTTTTGTTTAAATAAATTAAAAAACGTTTATTTTCAAATTTAAAAGAGTATTCAATTATATCATGACTTCGTTTATCTTATAAAAAATAATTTATAAATTTTTTGTCTTTGTTTGATTAAAAGTTAATTAATTAATGAAAATAATTTATCGATCAAGAGCCATTTTTTTTTTTTAAATTGTCTTCTATTTTTCAAAAGGGTGGATTTAGCTAGCAAAGGTATAGGAGTTTTTGAGGAACGAAACCCTCGACTTTATGTGCAGAATTAGGTGATTAGGAGGTGTTTTTAAAAAATCTATTAGGCGACGTTGGATGGCGATGAAGTAAGACAGCCAACTTGACAATGTCGATAACTCATACATGGTCGCCCATGGATTATAAAGAGAAAGTCTGAGTCACAGAGGGAAAGAAAGTTGAAAAGAAAAAAAAAAAAGAAAAAGATAAAAAAAGAAAAAAACTTTGAAATTTTCAAACACCAAAAAAAAAAAAAAGTACACTGTTCAGGTGATTTAAAGGCGCTCATGCACTAGATTTCATCTAAACAAAATTTCTAATTGTTTCATCTTTCAAATTAGAAAATTAGGTCTTTGTTCAAGCAATCCCTGTCGGAAAGTAAATTAAGCATTTAGACAATTATTTTTTTTTACAAAATGAAAACTAAAAAAAGAATAGTTTCTAACACCATAATAGTATGCCAAGCCTGAAATGCATAGACGCCACGGGTGAGTTATTCACTTATTTGTGAGTAAATGGTTGTATTTGTATCTCTGTCTTGGTCTGGTCTGGTCTGGTCTGGTCCCTGCAACTGTGCAAGCCTTGCGCCGTCTTTTGCGTCCTCTTGGAGTCTTGGTTTTGGCTTCTTTCACTCTTGAAAACTTGGTTTCTCTTTGTTCGACCTTACGGATTGTACTTGTGTAAAATTTTATTTTAAACCCAATTGCTAAGTTTTAATGCATTTGGATCAGTGTAGTTTTACTGCTTGGAGGAACACAGTTTTCCTCAACAATTTTCTTCATCGTGATGCATTTATCTGGATCTCTACCCTGATTACTGGGTTTGCCTGTAATTTCATCTTTTCTTCAATTAGCACGATTTTTGAGGACCCCCTCTTATTAAGAAGCACGATACATGATTTGCGGCCTATTTTTTGCTCTAATGGTGATTGGAAAAAATCGAATTGTTTAAGAAAAGGAGCTTAATTTATTTTGGAGGTTTTTGGTTTTCTTTAGGAGCCGTTGAAGATTTGGTTTGACGGATTTATTTTACGCAGCTCCAGGTCCACCTTACTTAAGCCCGTAACATATTTTTGTTTAAATTAAATTCAATGTATACTTTTTTATTCCATTACTTACTGATAAGGATTTCTGCATTCGAAAGGAACATTTTATTCTGTAAATTATAGTTACTGAAATACCGGCAGTTTTCTCCCCTACTTTTTTCCCCTTCTATTTGTTGCCTTATAAGTATAGTGGGCTGTCGTGTAGTGGGTTTTTTTGGTCAGGCTAATTTGTCTTAAATCCTTGATAGCTTCATTCATGTATGCTTCCTTGGGTTCTTTTGAACCTTGCATGAAGAGTTAAGAATAGTGATGGGAGGTACTAGCAATGGCTAATTGCTTGAATTTGGGTTATTTCTGAGTACGAAAAACGGTGTTTCAGCCCTTCATCATGCCTTTGTCTGAGCTATACCGGCTGGCTAGGGGGTAGCTTGATTCATCTCAAGAGAAGAATCCTCCATGTTCTACTGATCTGTCTTTTGTGTAAGTTCCGTTTTACTCTAGTTCCTCAGTCTCTTTAAACATTAATTTCTTTGGTTCATGGTATTGAATTATATGCAATTTTCTAATTTGGTTGTCTTGCGCCTTTTTGTCTTGCCTTTTCCCTATGTGTTCGAATGCAGACCTAAGAATGACTTTGTTGAACTTGTATGGGAAAATGGTCAAATTTTGATGCAAGCTCAATCAAGTAGAGCTAGAAAGATTCCTGCTTGTAACAGCTTACCCTCTCATTGTTTACCATTGCACACTCCTAAGAGCAGACATAAAGATACAGGAAATGTAGGAACTAATACAAAAATGGTAAAGTTTGGGGCAATGGATTCTGAATTAAGCGAAATTCCAATGTCGGTGGCATCTGGAGAAATGGGTTTGGATCAAGATGATGAAGTGGTGCCTTGGTTGAACTACCCTGTGAATCAATCTTTACGGGATGAATATTCTGATTTCTTGCCTGAATTATCTGGGGTCAGTGCAAATGAGAACCCTAATCTGAGTAACTTTGCATCATTTGACAGAAGAAACCAATCCATTAGAGATTCCAGTACTATTTCTCTAGATGATGGTGCTGGTTTTGAACAAGGAAATCTGTCAAAGGTTCCTAGACTAGCAGATGGCGAAGCTATGCCTAGAACTGGTACCAGTCAATTATGCATGCTGCCATCACATCCATGTCAAACTTCTTCTCCATATTTTAGATTACAAATTTTGGAGAATATTAGTACTTGCTTGAGTCATACCACCACCCACCGTTCCATTTGCCGAGATTCAGTGGGAGTCCAAATACCAGATGGTGGTTTGTCAGGCATTAAGATGCAGAAACAAGATCCAGTACCACCTTGTAATAATACTGTCTTGATGAAAATTTCCCATTTTTTGCATCCTGCTACTCTTGTTAAAGCTAGTCTTAAGAACATAGGTTCTATGGCTAGCACTGAAAGAATTGGAAGTAAGGAAAAGGGTTCTGCTGCCAGTATTAGCAACCCTGCTGATATCACACTCATTCATTCAAATATTGAGTTACAGAAGGAAAAATTTTCACATTGCCAACCTATGATAGTGCCAATGAAGACCGATATAAAAGAATCTGAACCTAGGTCTCTAGATGAATCAGTTGCTGCTGAACCAACTGATGCCATCTGTGAAGAAAATGTCCTCAAGAATGATAAAAACCCTATTCAAGTTATTGGTGAAAGTGCTTTTATAGGACTGCCAGATAGTGATAAGGCTGTAGAGCCTGTGCTTGTTGCTTCCTCTGTTTGCTCTGGCAGTAGTGTAGAGAGAGCATCTGATGGTCCAGTACATAATTTGAAGAGAAAAAATCGTGATAATGAGGAGTCTGAATGTCCTAGTGAAGTAAGTTATGGTACATTTTTTTTATGTACTTTGTCCTGCTGTTTTCTAATTCATCTTTCCTTTGCCAATAAAACCAAGTAACCAACTTATGTGCAGGATGCTGAAGAAGAATCTATAGGTATGAAAAAAGCAGTTCCTGCTCGAGGAGGTATAGGGTCTAAGAGAAGCCGAGCAGCAGAAGTGCATAATTTATCTGAGAGGGTGAGGAAGAGCATTCAATAAATTAAATAATTTGTAATTTGTCTTCCAAATTGCTGTTTCTGAATTGTAAGGTCTGGACTTCCACAAACAGAGGCGAAGGGATAGGATAAATGAGAACATGCGTGCTTTACAGGCGCTCATACCAAACTGCAATAAGGTTGGCAACTCATTAGGTCGTTGATTGCTTCTAAATTTTGTTGTCCTTTTAACTAAAGCAAGGAATTTTGTTTAGAAATAGAGGTGATCGTGGAAGTAGAATCAATAAGCTCAGGCATATCTTGTCATTTTATTCGTACTTCTTATCTTTGACTAAATTTTTAGTTAATTTCATTAGACATGGGTTAAATGGATTTGTGATTGAAACCAAAAACAGACCAACAAAGACCTGATGGATTTTGTATTTTAATTACTGTTGGCTCTTACATTTTGACATTACAAGGTGGACAAAGCATCGATGCTTGATGAGGCAATTGAATATCTGAAGACACTTCAACTACACGTGCAGGTAAGATCTCTCTCTTCTTTCTCCCAACTCCTAACTCTTAGTCTTCTTTTTAGTGTATATTTGAATTTTGATTTTTTGAAGAGTAATTGAATAAGTTCAATTTGTCAATTACCGCCCTTAAGCAGATTATGTCTATGGGAGATGGCTTGTATTTGTCACCAATGATGTTAACAACTGGAATGCAACACATGCATGCAGCTCATGTGGTGCATATTTCACCCATTGGTGTTGGAACGGGAATGGATATGGGTTTTGGAATACCATTGCCTCACATGAATGCTGGATCTTCTACTTGTCCTATGGTTCAGGTGCCTCCAATCCCTGGAGCACCTTTTTCTGGCCCAGGCCCACATATTTCAGGCCCCACTGCTCTCCATGGGATGGCAGGATCTAACCTCCATCTATTTGGGCTTCCTGGTCAAGGATTTTCCATGTCAATGCCACGTGCACCTTTGATTCCTATTTCTGGTAGGCATCTCATGAAATCAGCCATGGGATTGAGTGCCTGTGGACTGGTAGGTCCTATGGATAATATGGATTCAGCTACTGCTTCTAGTTCAAGGGATCCAGTTCAGAATATCAACTCACAAGTGGCACAGAACACAATGGCCAATAGCTCAATGAATAAGACTCCTACTCAGGTTTGGAGATTTTTTCCCATATATTTCACATTTTTTTTTAAAAAAAGACAAGTCTTAGTATTTACTGAAGCGGGTTTTATTTGCCACTTGGAGAAGGTTGCCTTGAGGCATTATTTCTCTGCAGAGGCAAAATTACAAATTAGTTATTTCACATTGTATAGAAGCTTACCCTTGATGACTAGTTAATGTGATGCTGTATTATTTCCAAATGTAGACAAGCTCATGGTAAAGCTGACCAATGTTTCTTGTTAGGGTTAGATCAGAGAAATCCTTTTTCTTTTCATCATTGAAGAAGTTTTATGCTTATAAAGCAGGAGTTGGAACATATACATACAAACATGCACACAGACACTTATGTTTATTACCTTTTGCTTTATTCTACATATAAAGATATGGATGACAGAAGAAGGGTTTCAGATTCTATTAACTTGTCACCCATCCAAATACTTTGCTATATAATTTGATGGATTTTCCTCCTGTCATGGTCTGGCTGAATCTAATTAAATTTTATATTGTTTGCAATGCCAGTGCCCAACAACAACTCAAAGTTTGGAATAGCCAGCTGTGGTGCAAGAGAATGGTCAATCCTCAGTAGTCACTGGTATTGTACCTTTTAGATCAGCAGAAAATGAAAAAAATACCTAATAGGTCAGATTACTTTTAATTCTATATTTGCATCATGTGTTAGTGAATTGTGGCTTGAAGAATCTATGAACACTAAATATTTTAAGTGCAGGTTAAAAATTGTTAGCTTTTTGACTGGAGGAGATGAATCCTTTTTGCTTCCTATGGATACTGAAGCTTTTTCTCCCTGAGGAGATTGAACCTCTATGATGGTCAACTGAATACTAATTTCAGGACAATACAGTCACAATTTGCACAGATTTTGATATGTTGAGGAGACTTGAAATCTTTTCTTGCATATGTACATTCATTTATACAATCCATGCAAATAATGCGATGTCTATCTAAGAGATAAATACCTCAATTCAATAGTATGTATTCAAATGTTTGTTGTAGACCTATGGTTAACCAATTCTTTGAATTCATGAAATGATAATTATTTTTCCGTTACATATTAGGCAATCAGTTTCTCTCTGTCTCGATCTACATATTTTAGTCAAGTGAAGTATGATACATAAATTGTGGGTGGCATAATCATCCATCTCTTTTCAGCTTCCTGAATGCAACAGGTATGGAATATTTGATACAGTCCAGAATATTCTGATTTACATGTTGCTGATAATTTGCTATCACAAAGAATTTAAAAATTTACAGAGTTTACTAATGTAAATACTGACTCTGTCCTTGATTTAGTCTTGATTAGCTTAAAGCCATAAACCTTAAAAGAGTATTTACTTTCATTTTTTTTGGGGACCTGCCTAAGATCATCACATGTAAAGCAGATAATTGTTAGGACTCAGGAGTATATTCATCTTCATCTAGTTCTCTGGATCAGTAATTCTAATGAAACTTTATGCCCTAGTCTGAAAACAGTCGACAGATTAGCTGGTCCATCTTCAAAGATGTGGCCAAAAGGCAGGGAAGGGTTAATATTACAACTAAATTTATCTCTAAATAGCATCAAGCAGAGCCTTTTCAACTGTCTATAAGTAATTACTGACGTATGCATGCACTTCCATCGCTGAAAATTAGTTAGGATTGGTTAATTATTATTTGTTGCTGGTATGCACATGACATTCACATGATGATTTTATAAAATATTTAATATTTTATTTAATAAATAATATGTATATGATAAAATTATATCAGTTAAATATTTTATAGATGAGTTAAAATGTTAGTATTATAATTTAAATTAAAATGATATATTATTTAAAAATTTAAAATATAAAATTGAATGTTTTACTTTTTTAAATATTAATTTATTATTGTTTTATAGGAAGGCATAACGTCAGCACAAGAAGGGGAGTCATTAGCCAGCATTATTTGCTTTGCTATCTGTCGCGGAATTCACGGGCTTGTTTTTCCATTGGATCCAATTCAGCGCGAACCCAAGACCCTTGTTGTCATTAAAGTTTATCCTAATTATCATTCTTCTATGGGAATGCTCAAACCATAAAGGTGCTTCCTCCTTGTGTTGTTGATACATATCCCATGGTTGTAATAGTTGGGGCTGTAAACAAACTGCAAATTAAATGAATGAACATATGTATGTAGTTTATTCATTTATTTTTAGAGGTATTCAGGTTTGGTTCATATTTATTAAAAAAATTGTTTTGTATGATCATTTAAATAATAAATTATTTGTGTTCGGTTTTTATTTGTTTAATTAAATTAAACGAGTTCATTGGTGAATATTAAATAATAATGTTTATAAATATATACAAATAAACATATTTATAAATAATAAATATATCATAATCAAACAAATTTAAACAAATAAATCTTAAATGATTATAAACGAATTTAAATAAATATAAACGATCTTTAAATTAGGATTAGGGTTTAGGATAAAAATATAATTTTATTAGTATTATTATAAATGAACAGTAAATGAATAATAAACAAATAATAAACGAACAAGTTTTAAACGAATTTTAAATGGGTTTGTTTATGAGTGAGTATAAACAAATCAAATAGGTTTTTGTTCATATTCAATTTTTTTAATAAATAACTATAAAAATATTATTTAAAATCGTTTGTTAAGTTTAATAAACAAATATAAATGAATAAAAATTAAATACGTTTACGAATAATTCATCAAAAGTTCTATTCGTTTACACATCTTCATCATATTTAATATGGTTTCGAAAATTTTCAGATTGATTTCCCTTCATTTGCCCCCTTTGTATATATCACACCTGTTGGCTGACTAATTCTCAATGTCATAACGTATAAATCTATAGACCTACCATCGGTTTTAATTTTCAATAGCATCTCTGGTTTTATTCTTTTTAGCTTTTACTGCACTGGTTTGCATTCTAGCTTTAATGGTAGCCTATGTTCCATTATTTTGGTACTTAGTCCAAGCATATCCTGGTAGAACCAAGCAAATACATCCATAAACTCTCGGAGCAACTCCTCTAACTGCTGACAGTCAACAACCGAGAGTGAAGTACCAATCTTGACTTCTTTTTTATTTTCAGCATCACCCAAATTGATCAGTTCAACAATTTTTTGATGAGATTCAATAGATTTATCCTTTTATTCAACTAGCCTCATTAAACCTGCAGACAAAGTGTATTCCTCAAAATCTTCTTCAGTATCAAGTCCATCGATATTAATTGAATTTTCAAAGTTAAACCCTAAATCATTGTCATGATTACCTTCACATTCATTAGGAAACCTGCAAATTAATATAATAGGGAATATTGGCAAGAAATTTTGATGGTGATGGAATGGAAGAAATGTATAAAATGCATGCTTCCACTTTTATTGGAATAATGAAAAATAAAGACCCAAACATAAGAGTTTATCCTAATGCTTTTGGGCATAAGCAATTAGGAAATGTGATTACATTGATGAAAAATAAAAAACAATAGGCATCTGGATGACCTTTCAATTTGGTAATTCATATCCCGACGGGCAACGGTAAACCAAAGCTTCATCATTTTGGCTTCCATCATCCACCATGTGAATGAATAGCTTGGCAAAAACTTCTTCCCATTTCGGTTTCTTTTTTGGGTCTTTTTCAGCTTTCGAAAGTATGTATCCTTTAAGAGTGAAAGTCTCATTTAAATGAGGAACAACCGTCGATTCATTTCTTGCCTTCCTGCTATAGCTTGGTATTTCTTCCATCTTATAACCCAATCCTGCTCTACCATTGTTGTCTTTAAGTTTCAGGAATTCTTTCATCCCTTGAAGATTCTTGCCTAAGTCGAACCCAATATTCTAACCCTTGTTAATCATTTGATTAATCATAATTCTGCTGAACTTGAGCCTTTCACCGACTGCATTAACGAGTTCAAAAAACCTGTAAGAACATTCTAGTGATTCTTTTGCCGCTTCAACATATGGGGTGTTTATGGGTTAGGTCACCAATAAGTCTTCTTCCTCAGCCACAATCACCAACTGTCATTCCATATTAAATTTGATCTTTTGATGCAGCAAGAAAGGGATAACGCCCGCTTTATGGATTCATGGCCTTCTCAATAAGTAACTATATGATAGAGAAATATCCATGACTTAAAATTTTATATTGAAAACACATGGTCCAATCTGTATGGGTAACTCCACATCTCTTAAGACTTCTTGCTTAGTTTCATCAAATGCTCAGACCACCATCTGACTATCTTGGATCTGGGATATATCAAAAGGTAATTTGGCCAGGGTAGACACCAGTATAACATTAATAGCTGATCCATTATCAATGAGAACTTTAGCTACTATATAGCCTTTACATTTAATAGTGATGTGCAACGCCTTGGTACTTCTTCTACCTTTAAGCAGAATCTTATCATCGTTGAATGAGATATGGTGTGGCACTACTAGATTCCTTACCAAGTGATTCATATACTCCACAGAGATATTATGGGCCATATAAGCCTGATTCAATACCTTTGTCATGTGGTTCCAAATTTAAGAGATGCAATAGTAAAAAAATTCTGGCTGGCATCTGATTTAGTTGTCCTCTATAGAATATTCATTATGCTTGACTAACTTCAAAAATTCATAAGCCTCATTTTTAGGCATGGACTTCGAGGTATTTAAAATTTTTGGTTCGATCTGCTTTTCTTTCTTTTTTTCCAAAGTCACTGGAATGTAACATTTTTTACTTCTAGTTATACCCCTTACTTCTGTTATGTTGGCGGTTTTAGATTTTGGCATATCTTTTGGCTACCCCTAAGTCATCATCTCACACTCATACTTTCAAGGCACTACCTTGTCATCTTTATAAAGAAATGGGCAAGAAACTTTGAGAGCTACTAGTTTAGGGATAAACTTATTCCCACCTGATTGTGGCTTTTCCTTACAATGTATGGTGATAGGTTTTCACACCCACTTGTTTGTCATGGCCACCCCAATGTTTTCAGAAACCCCTAACTCTTCAAATAACTCTATCTGGTAAGAGTTTATTAGTTTCTACACCTCTTGGTGAAATTGTTGGCATTTTTTGGTAGAATACCCCAGAGCTTCACTATGATACTTACACTTTTGATTAAAGATGCATCCTCTCACGTAAGTGCATGGAGTCATTGATTTATCAATCCAACTTTATATAAGGCATCATAGAGCTGGTTGAATGGCCTTTTAATCTCTTCTACCCTTATTTTTGCATGCCTTTTATCTTTGTCCAGGACGTTGACTATATGATTGGGCAATGGATTCCCACTAACATTAGGTGTTGAGCTCTCACTGGTATCAAAACTTATCAACCCCTATTTAATCAAATGCTACACTTTTTATTTTAAAGAAAGATAATTTTTAGTAGAATGGCCTGCTACACCATAATAGTAGTCACAATGGGCGGTGGCGTCATACCATTTGGGATAAAGAGGTTCGAACTGTTTGGCAAGGATAAGAGTGCTTAGATGGTTCTTGTAGAGCTTTTAATATAACTCTGTGTAGCTTATGGGTATAGGATCAAAAGTGGGTCTTTCCTTGGTTTAGGGTTCCCTGGTATTATTTGTAACACTGACTGGGTGAGCAGGAGATCTTAGTAAAGATGGATAAAATGGTTGGGTGGTTGATTGGTAGGGAGATGCAGAGGTATTATTTATTATGTGGTGGTATGTAGGATAGGTAGGTTGAGAGTAGTTTTTGAATTAGTGCCCCTCAAGACTCACAACCTGAGTCTTGCTTTTCTTCTTTTTAGGTGCTTTCTTAGAAGATCACCTTATTCAAGTTTATCATTTTTAATGGTGTCCTCGATAATCTCTTTCCAGATCACCATATCAGTAAAGTTTTCAATCACATTTTCAATCATCTTTTATAATAAGGTGACTTTAACGTGCTTACAAATAGTACAATAGTTTTTTTCTCTATTAGAGAAGTTATACTTGAGTAGCTACATCTCTCCATCTTGGGCATATTGTTTGAAAGATTCAGATGCCTTCTTTTCCATTGCTTGCAAAGAAAAGTGATTCAGGGCCATGTCAATAATATGACAATACTGATTGATGAAAGATCGAGTCAAATTTTTTTATGTCTTTATTTGGGACCCATCCAATTGGACATATCATCTTGTTGTAGACCCAATTAAACTGTCTTAAAAAATATGCATAAGTAACTTTTTATTACTAGTATGTGCCACCATTTTACGACAATACATGGTGATATGTGTGATAGGACACTTAGTACCATTATATTTCTTAAACTCTAGTACTTTAAACTTAGGTGGCACCACCATATTTGGTACTAGGCAAAGTCCCACAGCATCCATGGATCC